ACAAAGAAAGAGAGAGATGGCCCAGAAGAAGAAGGAAGCTCAGGAGGAAGAGGAACAGGCCAAGGCAGCAGAGGCTGAAAAAAAGAGAGCTGAGGAGGAGGAAATGGAAATTGCAAGGAAAAGTGCCGCCCGTATGGAAAGGCGGGAGGCTTTGGAAAGGTCCAAAGCAAAGAAAGTTTAACACCAAGTTTAAGGGCCCAGTATGTGTAGCATGTGTAGCATGTGTAGCGAACAACTTGGAAACCTAATATGTTAAAAGTGAATTTTAAAAGTGAACCAACTTGGAAACCTAATATGTTAAAAGTGAATTTTAAAAGTGAACCAACTCATCTAGAGATCCAAATTCGATTAGTGTCCTTCCTGTGAAGGGTGCAACACTGTCGTAGCACTTCATTGCATCAAGCTTGCAAACTTGGAAATCATCCATCCATCCAACCCCAGTCAATGCGTCTAGCACAAATTTGAGGCAGTTATCTGTGTCTGGTTTCATACTTATAGTGTACTCTGTGCTATCAGATTGTGATGCTTGTAATAGCTTTCCCTTGGGTCTGGTTCTGTTTCCGTTGACAAACATGTTTTGTGGAGGCCTCTTATACAATCTCACCCTAACCCATACTGGACCTGCTGGTAAAATAGGTGGTTCGCCAATACCAATGCCAAGCTCACTCCTAGCTTCAGTGGCAAACTGTTTCATCTTTGCCTCAGATGGATTGTACGTCCATCGCTTGATAAAAGGGATTCCTTGACTTTACCAGCTTTTCCCCCTTTTTTTTTTTTTTTTTGTCGTGCTGCCGACACTGCATGGCATGGAACCTCGGGGATTGTTTTGGGACAATATCACCAGTCACAGTAAATTTGTAGCTGTCCACACCCTGTTGACTCTGTTGCTCTCCTTTTCCTTCCTCTCCTTTTTTTTTTTTTTTTTTGTTGTTGTTGTTGGCGTCTACCATGTTGGCATCATCTGCATCTGCTGCTTGTGAGACTTCTGCGGGATCTGGATCTGCTGTGAAATGGCAGTGTTCTGGTATCTGCTGACACCACAACAGAAAAATGGGGGACATTGCTACATGTGTCGTGTTGTGTGTAAGTAGGTTGGTTTGTTATGTGTAAGTAGGTTGGTTTGGGCCTTTGGCTAGTCCGGCATCTCGGTTTTGTTTAACAGCTGTAGATCCAGGATCAGCCTGGAACTGTTTCTACCCACACTCATGCCCTTGGGTTTCTGTTTCCACACTGTCCTCTAATCGCTGTGGTCTGTTTCAACCCACACCCTTGACCCATTCTCAAGGGTGTGGGTGGTAACAGAGTTTATTCACTGTGCCAATTTCAGTACCAGCCACAGTACCACAGCCCCTACTCCCACGCAGCTGAGTCATGTAAAGGGAACTGAATCAGGCTGAAAACAACGTGCCGACTCTATTTGGGCAACGGTGCCTGTTACCCACAGTTTGATACCTATTACCAGTACCCCCATAACTTTCCTAGCTAGCCTAGCCACTAGGAAACGCGGAGCATAGTCACTCCTTCATTCTCTCGTCATTACGTGTGCTCACTTCTTTTAGTTAAACAGACAGATCATTCTTCACAAGCAGCCCTTGCACAGCGTTTCATATGGATGGTGGCAGATGATGGTCCTCACAGTAGAGGCTGCCGTCGCACATCGCATCGAACCTTGTTCTTGAGTGTGTCTTCCTTGTTGGTTTTGGTGGTGGCGTCCACGATCTGCAAAAACTACCGGTACAGGGGAGATTTGATTGATCGGGTATCCAATAATAATAATAGTGGTATACTTACCGAAAGGAAAACCGAGCACGACAATAATATCATCAGCAGCCATCACAAGAGCTATACCCTTCCATCCTTGGAATATGGTGGGATCATCTTTTACCTACATATACCAAAGACAGGCGGAACAACCATTCGAGAGCTTATCAAGTATCGAAAGAATGGCAGACGGTCTAGAGTCCATTACATTTATCTGACAGGGCCGCGCGAATACAACGACACTATGCAGCTGATGAAGGATTGGGTTGTCCGTGGCACTGACAATCAAGAAGTTGTCTTCATCGAATTTCATGCACTCGAAAGAAATTGTCCCACGTTTCTACATTTGAGTCAAAACGAATTGCCTCGGTGGAAAAATCTCGCAAACGAACACAATGTGCCATTCTTTTCCTTCACCATTCTACGAGAACCAGTGGCAATGGCCATTAGTTTCTTCAACTATTACCATGGCATTCCACAAAATCCAAAAGGTTTTGGAATCTATTGGTAACATCCACATTCTACTTTGCTACACACAAAAAACGTCAGCAATTGACCACAGGAATACCACCCAGCCAAACGTTTAGTATCGAAGACATATTTGCGCATGCAACTATCGCCAATCCACAGTGTCTCTTCATGGCGCGAAACGAAGATGCCTACACTAAGACCGGCAAAGATCTGAGGGACAGTTTGACTCGTGACGACTGCCGTCAAGCGTACAAGAGCATCCTACACTTGTTTGACTGGGTTGGGACAACCGACAGACTTGGGAATGAGACGCTTCTTTTGTTGAGGCGTCTCTTTCAAAGCAACCAAAGCACACAACGACTCATTCGGAATCTCAATAAAACCGCTAATACCGCCGGATTAAGTGCGCCAATCCACTTGAGAGATCTCAACGGAACTACCATACAGTACATTCGTAGAATGACATCGTGGGATCAAGAACTGTACGATGCCGCCAAGAAAGGCGAATTCCCCGCGGACTTTGGACGCTGGAGCTTGAGCTGATGCTAACTGGGCTGGCTGGCTGCCGCGGGGAGTGCCGGGAGGCAAGGAAGGCGATTCTCGTCTACAGGGGCATACCAAACCCGGACCAATGTTTCCTTGAGCAATATGCATGCATCTCTCTTTGTAGATGCCATACATGGTTACCCTTATTCAGCAAGCATGCAGCAGCGAGAGTTCCACACGTATCGTTATCTACGGTACAGGTTGGTGATCTTAGATCTTAGGTTTCCAACCATCCATCAACATGCGCCGGCAGATGCGCACCAGGTTCTTGCAGTCGTCAATACCCCAATTGTGATGACCCTTCACTTTCATGCCCAAGCATCCCAGCCATACAGCGTACCAGTACCATGTTCATGCCAACTACTACAGTGCGATAAGACCTCCTTTGCTAGTCTCCGAGGGACTAGTGACGAAAATGTGAGAGTTTTATTGCTGTGATTGCACTCGCTTCATCCTACCATGAAGATCGAACAAACAAGACGACCCTGTAATCCGGCAAGTTGGAGTTGGAGAAGGAAAGGAGGCAGATGGAAGCCGTCGAAGCTTTGGTCAGCAGTGGGTTCCTCGACCATGGCAACCTGGAATGGTACAAATATAAGGTCAACACGGCAATGGACAAGAAGATATCCGCCCATAGCACACTCGTTAACGTGCGCGATGGACCTAGTGACTAATGACACAAAGGGGATTAACATTTAGACTACACTGCCTCGACATGAGTAGCAACATTCCAGTCCACTGTCGTCGTTCCACCATGCACTGCAGCGCGGACAGAAGTCTTGGCCACAAGCAGTGCATTGAGTGTTAAAGCTATGTCTCTTTGTCTCTTCATACACTCTACGCATGTAAATAAGCCAGTGTTAGGGATAGACGGCTTTGGTTTTAGATGTTTCAACATGGGCTCTGACTCCAACAAACGATTTAATTCTTTTGAACCTTTCCCGTTCGTAGCTTTTAATTGCTTCTTTGTCGAAGGTCGCTTCCTTCGCATGTACGCGTAATGTTTGGATCTCTTTTATTGCATTGTTAACTTATTGAAGTTTCTTGGGGTTACCTTGTCTTCTACCGAACCTCACCTCTGGTCTCTGCGTATCTCTGCCACTGCTCAGTCAAAATAATCATCGTCGATGGAGACGTCGCTGAAGTCGTCCTCGATAGGCGCGATGAAGATGTGACTGTCATCATCAATGGTCACTTGCCGACGCTGGCCTGGAGGCAGTGATTCCGGCGTTACAACTGCCGGTGAATCGGGTGTCACAACCGCAGCAGTAGTCTGCTGGCCAGGAGGCAGTTCTGGAGTCACGATTGCAATTTCCGACCCTATCACATCCATAGCCGGCGGTGTAGCATAGGAATGTCCCTCGTTGCTGGAAACCGCACAAGACATGTCGAAGCATGCTGACATCAGACGCATATTCCACTGCCGGCTAAAGTTGATAGAACCCTTTAAAGCACTCAAAATCGGATCAGTAGGATACCTCTGCTTCACAGTAGCCTTGAAGACATGCTTGCCACCAAAACAGTTTGTAACAGGACGCTTAGGAACGCGGATCCCAGGCGCATCACCAGTCAACAATACTGGAATGAGTGTCTCAATGCCAGCTTTGGAATCTTCAAAAATGCGCTTCGACGTTTCGTCCCCCTTCTTTCCCATCAAAGCCTCCACCGTGTCAGCCAAGTTAATGATTCCCCACTTGTCTGGGGGCACCTCCATGGGCTTGCCGGCATCATCACAGCTGCGGGTGTGGAGGTAGGCCAATCCCTTGAGAAACCGCGTTAGGACATCCGTAACAATGTCAAGGTCTCGATACCTTCTACATCCAAGTCCCTGAAGAGGCGTCTTTCAGCAGCAACTGCAGTGTGCTTTGAGGGCCCATCTTGTAAATTGTTGTACTTGTCGTCCTCCTCCATTTCTTGGTGGTAGTGTTCCCCCACAAAGATCGCAACATCATACTGACCGCCATCCCACGCACGCATTTTATCAAGCGTCATGATGGGAACAATAACCCAATTGTACCCTGTATCATAATACTCACTGTGTGGATGTGGCAGCATCAGGAAATTTCAGTAGTGGTCCTTGAACCCGCCAGCTTTGTCTTTGACACCTCCTACCAACATCATTTAAAAGGCATTGGCCAAATGTTCTTCAAGCTGCTTTTTGTTTTCTGATCTTGTCCGAACTTGATTTGGAGCACACAAATCCGTCAGTGCACACACACACCCGATCAGCCAAGAGACGAAATAAGTGCCACCAAGGGCCAACGATGTCAGTCCTTTGAGCGCTGGTGGTCCTTGTGATCCTCCCATAGTTTTTTAGGGGGGTTAGGCACTCGGAGGGGGGGAGAGGAGGAGGAGGAGAGGGGGAGGAGTAGGGTTAGATTCCCAATTCCTGATTCAATCGCAGGCATGGATGACGCATGGTCATTCTTTCCATAAATCCAACCTCACGCAGACTTAGAAGAAGAGGGGCCAAGGCAAGGTGAGGGGAGATTACTTATTGTTCGGTACTAAAAATGTCATCATGCTATACATTAGGCTTTAACTCTACTTCAATTATTCTCTCCTGATTTGAATCCTCCCATCCCACCACTCCGGCCATCCCGAAAAATCAACCATTCATTGCGTACCCATTCAATCGGTGCACACAGTTCGGAGAATGCGGTGGACGTCCTCGTCTATTCATCAACCAATTTCGGTATAGATCGCAGCATCCGTTCGCAGGAGCAGGTGGTAAGTAATAAGCAAGAGGGAAGACAGGAAACTGCCAGTAAAATGGGATTTGTTGTTGCGGCACCGCAGTTGTCATTAACGTTGTTTGCGACAATACCATTGTGGATTGATTAATCTAACGATCTAAGAGATGTAAAGTTTGTATTTCCAAATAAGTGAGCAGTTATTGATTATTTTCTAGAATAGGCCCGCAATTTATAAAGCTGTAAAGCTGAATTGTAAGCTGTATCCCGTCGCACTCCCTTACAGCTGAAATGAAGCTGTAGCAAGAAACAATAGGAGAGAGTCCCCAGCAACGTGCTGAGGTAGATTACCATCCCATGAGGAGCTTCCGAATGACTGCAAACTGTGGAGCTGGCAGACCCTTAGTGAAGATGTCGGCCCGTTGTTCTAGAGTCGGAATGTACTTGGCCACGATGCCCTTCGACTCCCCGATATTCGACCTAAAGAAGTGGTACTTCAATGCCAAATACTTGTTGCGGGCTGACATCTTGGGAACATTCACAAGAGACAGGCAACCTTGGTTGTCTTCGAATACTGTAGAGCGCACGAGACTGTCAGTAATTACGGGCATATGCAGTTTGTTACCAATTTCCTTGAGCAGGGCTCGCATAGGAAGCAGCTCCCTCATGGACATGCTGAAGGCAACATATTCAGCAGCAGTGGAGCTCAGAGTAGTGTCGGTCTGCAGTTTGCTGGACCAAATGACAGGGCATCCAAACAAAGTCAAGACAAAACCAGTGCGAGACTTGACCGAAACAGGATCCTGATCATTCTCATATCCATACAACCCTGCGAAGTCAGCATCCACCCAACAATCAAGTCCTTGATCAAGCTTAGGGCTAAAACAAATGCCTTTGTCACTTGT